CGGTGTCCTGCAGATTTTAGCTCCAACCCTAATCAAACACACCTGAACCAGCTAATCAAGGTCTTATTAGGTATACTTGAAACATCCAGGCAGGTGTGTTGAGGCAATTGGAGCTAAACCCTGCAGGGACACCGGCCCTCCAGCAACAAGTTTGGTGACCCTCGGTTTAACGGCGTAATAGTGTATATATTAAAAAAATCAAACACAAAGAGTCTCAAAATCCTTTTGTATGAGGAACTACTTTCTTCCGCCATTCATTCACATCTGCACCTGACGTCAGAACAGCAGAACCTGTTGCTCATTCACCAACGTCACTTAAGAGCTAGTGTTTGAATGATTCTTTACACTGTAAAAAAACAACTTAATTTTACAGAAAAAAACTCTACATTTTTTAACAGTAATTTTTTGTCATTTCACATTATATTCAAAACTTAGTAAAATGACAACCAATCTCTCTAAATTAACCGTTTGACTTTCATTTTAGGTACTTTATTATTAAAGACAAATTACCGACATTTTAGTTTTTTATACAGGGAAATTACAGTATTATTTATACAGTTTTTCTGTTATTTTAAATTATATTCAAAAGTTCGTAAAAATTACAAAAAATATCTGTAAATTAACGGCTTGACTGTTATTTTATGTACTATATAAGTAATGACAAATTACAGCAATTTGTCTGTTTTATACAATAAAATTGACGTATTATTTACAGTGTTTTTTCCTGTTTTTTAAGTACATTTAAAATTACGTAAAATTAAAGTAATAAATTGTAATTACTTGCTCTGTAAAAATAAAAATAAAAAAAATCATAAAAAAAGGTCAAATGACTGGCAGCTACGGCTGCCAAACAAAAACCATAAAATTACGGTAAAATTTCTTTGTTGGAATAAAGTGCAAAAAATAATAAATCTACAGATATTGTCATTAAAATGTTTACAGAAAAACACTGTTATTTTACAGACTTTTCCTAGATTATTACTATCAAATCCATTTAATAAAGTAACACAATAAGAGCGCTCACATACTGTTCCGGATTCCGCTGATTGCGCACACACAGTTATGAACTGATTACATGCACTTTAAAAGCAGCACAGACGCACGCACCAATTGCTTAGTCTTGATATACTGCTACTGTGAACATTATGACGCGTTTCTCTTCTTTTGCCTTGCTTCGTTTGTTAATTTTTTACGTTGTTTGCTGCCAGGACTGATCATTTGCTTGTTAATTGACCAAGACTCTGAATTCCCTGCATACATCTGTTTGCAGTTTGCCCCTGTGTCGACTTGTTTGCCTGACCATCTCTGTGTAATAAACCTGCATTTGAATGTGCACTTCTTTGTCAGGGTCCCCTTCACGTTACGGTTCCATTTCATTTAAGATCTGTAACTGAATCATTTCATACAACTTAAACCTCTACATGTTTTAAAGTAATACTATTCAATAAAATGTGATGTTATAGTTGTGAGAATTGTAATCAGTTGTATCTCGTTTGATGTTTTTTCCAAAACTTTTTGATCCAAAATAAAACTGTTAAATTACGAGCAAGAGCATGTCTTGGCTTTTTATTAAAGGCGTTAAATTGTAAAAAAAAAAAAAAAAAATTAAATAACATTGTTTTCTCTTGAACTTTTAGTGCAGGCACTTTATTAATGGTGTTCGATCATAATAATCATGGACAAGTCAAAATAAAATAACACTGTTTCTCTGTAAAACTCTTAGTGTGTTACTTTATTAAATGGATTTGATCATATTAATCTAGGAAAAGTCTGTAAAATAACAGTGTTCTTTCTGTAAACATTTTAATGAAAATATCTGTAGATTTATTATTTTTTTCACTTTATTTAAACAAAGAAATTTTACCGTAATTTTATGGTTTTAGCCGTAGCTGCCAGTCATTTGTCATTTTTTTTTATTTTTTTTATTTTTTACAGTGTAGTGTAATGTCAGGATTGGTGACCCCACCGTTAACCTGTTGTATAAACACAATACCACACTTTTAGCAGTGCGATGTGGCTGTATATCATCACTGTTGGGACACTAACGACCTGTAGCCTCATGCCAATGCACGCCTCTCACCAGTGCCGATATACAGCCATAATCGCACTGCTACTCGTATAATATTGCTCATACATATGACATAACTATATATCATAATAAACATTTTTAAATGGTTTTGACATTAAGAATTTGTCTTGGACCTGAATGGGAAGTTGAAACAACTAGTCTGAACTGGATCAATGCACATTAACGGCAAGAAGCTATTATTTTGACTGAAGTTAGTGAAGATGCAGTTCTAACCATTGCTGTCCTTGATGTCCACGACTGCCTGAGCCTCCAACAATAGAGAAAGCAGCTCCGTAGTGCCTGTGAGAGCAGCATGATGCAATGAAGAAAACCTGAGTGGGGGGAAAACAGAAAACTTTCAACAACAACAAAACAAATGGAAGGAGTAGTGGAAAAAGCCTTTGACAACGTAGGAACAGTCCTTGCAGGCTAAAGCCCAATAACAACGAAGCCACTCAATAACATTTATCAGCTTATTTTGATAGCAGTGCACACGCAGTTACACTTTCATCCTTCCCCACTTATGTGGCCACAAAGAGCACGGAAAAAGAAAAAGCTCCAGAACATGGGAGATTGCCAACAAACCAATGTCTTGTAAAAGCGTCTCATATTGCTGAAGCTGTGGCACAATCAGAGACGAAAGTCTGAAATTTACAAGCTTTCTTGAGGGCAAAATATAAAAAAGGCACCAAGACGTGTTCAAATCAGTGCGAGCTCAGACGCAAAACAGCGTGTCCTCTGGGCACAGACGCCCTCGTGAGATCTGATGTGTGTGGAAGGATGACAAATGAAAACGCTGCTTGTGTGGGGTTGACGTACGTTGTTAGGACATGCCGAAATCAAAGCACGACCTCTCGCAGGTCAGTAACAGTTCCGTCTTCAAGTAGCACTCCTCAAATACTTCAAACATCCCGAATATAAACGTCCCCCCTTAAGTAAAATCCTCACAGACAGCACCATTACTGGAAGCATATCACATTAGAAGAGGAATCTGTGATTTGAGCCAAAACTTGCCTCGAAAAAAGGTTTGACGGGGCAAGTTCAACTTCAATGTGATGCTTTTGGAATAAATAATGCTCCAGCTGATGAACAACTTTGCATCCAAGGATGTTAATGAGGAAAGTCACAGCTTGGTAGCAGTATTTAAAGCAATGGATAGGGTGTTTGAAATATGCAGTGGAACTGTGAGACTCTTTGGTATACAAAGAAGCAAGGTCTGTTGCAAAATCAAGTAGGATGCCTTTTAAAGGCTGGATTTTTCCTACACAACATTTGCCACAGCTTTTGTATGAATGTTTGTTGGATGGTATTCTAGCATTGCCTGTTTTTTTCTGAGAATATATGCAGTGCTGCTCAGACTTTGTGTTCAGAGTGCCTGCAATGCCTTAAAGCAGGGGTTCCCAAACTTTTCAGCACGCGACCCCTAAAATAACAATACCAGTGACTCGCGACCCCCAATATCCCCTGAGGTGGTTATAAATACAGAAAACTTGCATGCAATGGCGCACACACACAAATAGACCAAAGTTTATTTTTTTTATGTATTTCAGTGCTGTAAATGGGCCAGAAAGTTTAACCTGGTGTTATAAAATCAATCTGCTGCATCTGACGCTATTGCTGTGTCTTTAATATAATGTACTTACCCCAGGGGTCGCAATCCAATAGAACAAGTAAATAAGCTACTATAGTAACTATAAACGATATAAAATTTTTTCTCTTCAGTTGGTTATGGATAAAATATGGTAATTCTTATGGTCTAATAATAATGAGTAGATTTTTGGAAATCACCAGGCGACCCCCCTTCATTGTTCCGCGACCCCTCAAGGGGTCCCGACCCCCACTTTGAGAACCACTGCCTTAAAGGTCCATGAAACCCCCTGGTTTCAGCAGGGAGTTTTCACACCTCTACTTTGGAAAAAGTCTGAAAAGTGGGCGTGTCCAGCTCTGTTTAGGGGGTGTCGGAGAAACTAAAGTGGGATGGTGTGGGAGTGTCTATTTAGGCACCTGCTGAGTTTCAGAGTTAAAACACACACACACACACACACACACAGGGGAGAAAGTGACTGTTTACATGGACATCTGTAGTCGAATTATTTGCCAAATTATTAAATGGTGGACTTTAACTGCAGTTTGGCTCTTTCATTCAGGGAATTCATTCATGCCCCTCACGACAAACGAGATTTTTGATTGGAGGAACTGCTCTAAGCGTGTATTTTTTATGCAATGTTTGATACCGCACGGCGAATGAGAGAAAAAAAAAACTCAGCATTTACCAGAAACCTAGATGCACACGGCAGGTAGCGTCAGAAAGCCGCGTGTGTTATTCCGGTCACTAAATGCGGTGAAAATCCTACACGAGGTTAAAGTTTGGTTGTGGTGCTAACATGTTTACACTCGGTGCAATAGTTTGTTCGTTACGAACAAATTAAATAAACAAAGAGCGCTGGACGCTCACTTACCAAATCTGTAGAGACAGGACAATCACCAGCAACTAGAGCCGCGTCTTTATTAAGAGGAGACTACAAGCGAATCCGGATCTCAGCGTTTGCAGATGAGAACAGCTCTCAGGTAAACAATAATCCTCCTTAGACACGTAAGTTGTTGTTGTCGAGCGTCGCGTACACTGTTAATCCACACGTGACTCCAGCTGCGCTCTCACAGAGAGAAAATGAAAACAAAACTGAACTGCAGCAAACTATAAAAGCAACACTTCACGCTTGTTTTGCCAACACAACGTGGCGTCTCTGTCGTCTAAACACTGTGACAGTAATGAACATTAATGAAGTTGCACAATAGAGCGCGCTGATTGGTTTGAACCAAGCCTTACTCATGCATTAATGCAGCACACTGTAAGACGTAATAAGACACACTCTGGCACAGACGCCCAGTCTGCACGCTGGAATACACGCTATTATGTCATGACCGTGACGCAGCTTCAAAAATTTGTTTCAAACCGGAAGTACGAATTTGCTTGAAATAACGCAAAAACAACCAATTTACAGTTTTTAGTGAAATATAGGTGTCCTAATAGTGTTTTTAGCAGTGTGGGACACATATACCACTGTCAACAGCTCAAACACATGTGTTCTGGTGTTTCGTGACCCTTTAAGAAGTTCATCCGTTTTTTTTTTGCATTGCATTTTCCGTTGCATTGTCTTATGCAAGAAACGTCTTAAATATCTAGACGTCTGCAGCACAAGTCTGGAAACTTTGCCTATTCCTGCATTTTAGCCCACGCCTGACTCATCTTCTCGAGAATCACACACAAATATCTCAGCCATCTACTTTGCAATGCAGGTATTTTGGTCCAACATTTTATCACAGTAAAAGCAAAGGATCAGATGATTATACTCGACAAGAAACCATATGAGGTCAGCCAAAAGGAGGCGTTCATTTCCTGAACCCAAAACTACAGACTGACTTCTCAGAGCAGACCGTTGGATGTAAAGTGGGAGAGCACAGACAAGTAGAGCGGAAATGAATCCGACTGGATGAATATGAAGGCTAAAGTTGATCATTGGCATGAACACACTAAGACTGTGGTTTAAGACAAACACTTTACAGAGTTCGCAAGTAAGTCCTATCCTAGGAATCACAAGCGGGTGTCAAACTCTCTTAAGATGTAAATCAGCTTGACACGCAAGCATCCTCACAGTGTACATTCCTTACACTCGTGAGAAAGCTGTACAGTCCTCAAATGAATTATTCATTCTCAGGCAGTGGTTGTCAACCATGATCCTGGAGTCCCACCGATACCACACATTCGACGTGACTCCTTAAATCAGCTCATTAGTAGACACTCGAATACCTAAGGAAGAGAGACATGCAAATTGTTGAGGAGACTCTAGAAACAAGATGAACAACCACAGTTTAAGTGAAGGACGAATGGGAATGGTTTGGTACAGTGGTTAAAACCCAAGACCATAAACCAGATGCTTGCTGGGTTAATCCCTACTTGGTCCCAAAATGTCAATCCCTGTTATTTGTCATCATAAAAGGGTCAGTATAAACTGACAGGAATCTAAGCTGGGTGATGGGGTCATGTCAAAGCATCGACTCTGTAGTTCAGAATTAAGACTTTGCATGAACGTCCCAAAGACAAATTCCACCAGACTTGGTAACTCGCCAACTAGACTTTCTATTAATGCAGAATCAATTACAGACAATTACTGCGCAAAGATCTCCAGAGGCAGGGAACATTCCTTGGCACCACAACAAGAGGGCAGGTTAGGGCAGGAAACGGAGACTACCGGAGGCCCCAATGCACAAAGCAATAGGTACAACATTACAACTCAACTGCTCAGAATCTGAGTCATCTAAACAGGTAAGACTTCTGTGTTTGAGGTGAGGATCAAAGTCAGTTCAGGCCCTGGTTGCCAGTAGACCCACACAGGACCTACACCCTAATAACAAAAGATTCCACAGAGTTGGATCCCCGTAAGAGGAAATGCATTTATTTGATAATGCTTTTATGTGGACCTCACAAGATTACCACATTTATAACCATCAGTAGACTGCACAGATTTCATTCCTATAAATGTCTGCATGTTCTGTGTGGCACAGGTTATCAGATGTGGGGTTCTTTGGTAAGAGGCATAATCACTCTTTTGTGTTATTTGTTCGTACCTGTACCTGACCTGCTTATGGTCAGACCGAGAGTCCTCTAAGAGGATGTGGGTGCTGAAAGAAACCCGTGTTGTGAAAGATCTCTCTCTCTCTTGCGCACAGAAGACGGCACTCTTCTCCTTCTGCACTTCCATAAACACTTCCTTGAGCTTACTAGGAAAATCAACTAAAGAAACAGGGAGCTGTGAGGAGGGATGTGCGGTTGTGGTGACAATCTGTTGTTGAACTGATTGTTGTTGACCTGAACTGGACAACTAGAGACAAAATCCGCATTTCCCTAAATCACTAATTCACTGAACTGCACATGAGGTTGATAATTAGGTTTTGAACCTTCTCCTGAATAGCTACTGTCAGCTACTTAATATCTAATCCTGCTTCAACACACTTGCCAGAAATTACCAAGGAACTCCGAACACCTTCATTGGGTGTTTCGGGAGGGTTAGATGGTAACACTAGATCTCCAGGATAGCAGGGTTGAGCAGGGTCCTTGAGCAGGGTTGAAGACCCCTGTCCCCTGATATTAATAAACACATAATTCTTAGAAGAAAAAAAAGTAAACGACTTAGCATCATGTTGTTGAGATATTTCAGTCCATTCTCCAAATCAAGTTATAGTAGGCTTCAGAAGACTAGAGCTCAGTTCAAACTAGGGCTGATTTTTCAGATTTTTTTTATTAATTCGAATTTACGTTTTAAGACGATTTAAT